GTGGGGGAGAGCTGTTGAGAGCTATGTTGAAAGGATGGGCATAACTCATTTTAGTAGGCAGAGGGTGTCGGAACATTTCAGGCAAAGATGCAACATTTAAAAGGCATAGAAGCAGTGTTGCAGTTATCTAATGCTATGTCATTATAAACTGCCCCAAAACTTAGTGATTTAAAACAATTCCTATTTTATTTGCTCACAGTTCTGTGAATCAGATATTTGGGTTAGGTGGTTCTGGTCTCACCTGGGGTCACTCATGTTGCAGCAGTCAGCTGGTAGCTCCACTGGAACTAAATAGTCTAAAATGGCTTCTCTCACATGTCTGGCTTTGATGATGGTTGTTGGTTATACTTCTTCACATGGCAGCAGCAGACTTGCAAGAGAACAGTAGAAGCTGCAAGGGCTCTTGAGGCCTAGGTGTGGAAGTTACACAGTGTTGCTTCCACCACGTTTTGTTGGACAAAACAAGTCAGAAGGCCAGCCTAGATGCAGTGGGAGAAGTAGACTCCAACTCTGATGGAAGGACCTGCAAAGAATTCATGGCCTTCCCTTCCACCCTCAACATACCACAAATAGAAAAGGGCAGGGTGAGTTTAGGATGTGTTACTTAGCCCAGCCCTGACCTCTGTTTCTCCTAGAACAAAGGCAAAGTATAAATTAAAATGAAAAATAGAAAAGTTTTACCAATAATTAACTAATTGAATTTTGAAGTTGAATTAGAAAACTATTTTTAAAAAGAATGTACTTTACTTACTTTTGAATATTCTCATAAACTTGAAAAACAGGAGTGTAAAGAATTCCTCAAGGTCCTGACTTTAGTAATAGGCCAGGATTATGTGTTATTACTACATCATTTGTTGTTTAACTAAATAACTTGGTCTTAAAATTTTTTAAGTATTTTAATATGCAACCTTGACCATAGTATTACTTTCCAAGGCAAATTTTTTAATTCACATTCCATACACATAGATATCTACAACCAACTACCTTTTAGATTGATCTGGAATTCTGAATTAGTAGATTCTGAATTAATGTTGTTTTTACGTCTTTATTCAACTAACTTTTACCAGTACTCAGCAGACACAAATGTGATTCCCTCTGAGTTATACTAGTTTACAGTCATCTGTGGTTTGCTATTTAATTCTGCTTTCTATTCTGAAAGAGTTCATAGCCTTTGTTCATTAATCAAGGGAAACAGTTGTGCAACATGCCTTGACATTAAGTTGAACATCTAAAATTAGTCCTGCTGCAATCAGTGGTTGGGGACAAGGCTTCAGTAGTTTTGGTATGTTTGACACCATGGTATGTAGATGTTGCAAGGTTGGAAAAATCTCTCTAGAAATAAGTAAGTGACTTGTGTTGTGTGTGTGTGCATGTGCCTATGTAGATACACAGTTTAAGATCTATTTTTATTACACAGATGAACAAAATTACATCTGTTACTATAATGCATCATAGCATCTTTGCTTATACACTGTGATGTTTGATTATTTCAGAAGAAAAATACACTTATTGAAAACTTGGTATGCTTGAGTGGATTTTTCTGCCTGTTTATTTTGGGGTTTTCATTTTTTAAATAAATAATTATATTATATATATTATATTTCAAGTGAATGGCTTTTTTTTTCTTTTCAGAGTTTATAGAAACCTATTCACAAAAATGACATCCTGGTTGTATGAATGTCTTTGTGAAGCTGAACTTGCACAGTATTACCCTCATTTTACTGCCCTTGGCCTTCAAAAAATAGATGAATTAGCCAAGGTTACAATGAAAGACTACTCCAAATTGGGAGTCCATGACATGAAAGACCGCAAACGTCTCTTTCAACTTATCAACATCATTAAGATTATGCAGGAAGAGGATAAAGTAGTCAGTAGCCCAGAGCACCTTCAGTACATCAAGCCTCAGGAATCCAGATCTGGCCCTCGCAGGCAACTACATTTTGATTCTCCTGCTGACAACAAAGACAGAACTACCAGCAATGATGGGTTTGAAATGTGCAACTTAACAGATTTTTCTGCAAGTGAACAGAAGTCTAGTTACCTAAAAGTGCTGCAGCACATGCTACCAGAAGATTCCCAATACCACACAAAAACAAGAATCCTGAATGCCACAGCTGCTGATGCCCATGTGCAAACAGAAACTAACACTTCGCTCTTTTCATCAAATCATTTTTCTCCAATACTAGGGGATTGTGATAGTCCCATCGTTCAAAGAGTCTCTCATGTTTCAGGGTATAATTATGGAATCCCTCATTCTTGTATCAGGTAATAATTTATTTTTATAGCTCATTTTTTTGGAGGGAGGGAGGGTAGCCTCGGGCAAAGGTTGTCTTCATGACCAGGGGAGAGCAACTACTCCTTATTTTCAGAAAATGATAGTGAACAGCTTCGGCATCAACAATAGAAATACCTTGATGGGGGAAAATTAATGAGGAGTTGGGACTTTCCAGATGGGAGAAAGATGATATTGTTCATGTACATCAAACATCTGCTACTTGCCAGGATCTGCTGTTACCCCTATAGCAGACCTGTTTCTATTATTTATTATAGTGTAACATGATATACCTAGTGCATCCATGAAGGTAAAATAGTTAACTAGTCTTCTGTGATGGGGAAAAAAATTATACAATCCAAGGGATTGTTTTATAAGGCTGTCAAATTCACTTAAACCAACCAGGAGACATTTTATATGTGTTATAACTTGAAACACTCCAAAACATTGAAGGTTTATTCTGTTTTAGGTTCTGTGCAAGGCGGTGAAATAGTTGCAATACAAAAAATTACAATTACATTAGTAATAACTACCAACACTTACTGGGCAGTAAGTATGTATTAGGCATCATGCTGGGAGATGTACAAATATTTTCTCATTAAATCCTAATGCTAGGAGCTGTGGAGTCTGTTAGTTCCCATTTTACAATCGAGAAAATTGAGTTCCAGAGATATTAAATAAGTTACTTGCCAAAAGTAACATTGTGGAGACTCTAAATTCTCATTGTACAGTTGAGAAAAATGAGTTCCAGAGATGTTTAATAAGTCACTTGCTAAAGGTGATTTATCTACTTATTGAGATTGTTTGGAGGTAAACAAGCAGTGCTTAGAACAGTGCCTGGTACATAATAAGTGTTCAATAAATATTAGCTGCTATTGTTATTGAAGCACAGGGGAAATGCCAGCTATCCCTGCTAGGACATACCTCAAAGAAGAAAAATAGAAATAAGGTTTTTCCTGGGAAAGAGAGGTAGTCCAGGTAGAAGAAACAATAGTAAAGGGATTGGTGTCCTCCTTTAACCACTGCATAGGGTGCTTGGTAGTAAAATGGTAGAAGAGGCTGAGGAATGGAAGAAGACATCATGCATGGGAGTGGGGGAGAGCTGTTGAGAGCTATGTTGAAAGGATGGGCATAACTCATTTTAGTAGGCAGAGGGTGTCGGAACATTTCAGGCAAAGATGCAACATTTAAAAGGCATAGAAGCAGTGTTGCAGTTATCTAATGCTATGTCATTATAAACTGCCCCAAAACTTAGTGATTTAAAACAATTCCTATTTTATTTGCTCACAGTTCTGTGAATCAGATATTTGGGTTAGGTGGTTCTGGTCTCACCTGGGGTCACTCATGTTGCAGCAGTCAGCTGGTAGCTCCACTGGAACTAAATAGTCTAAAATGGCTTCTCTCACATGTCTGGCTTTGATGATGGTTGTTGGTTATACTTCTTCACATGGCAGCAGCAGACTTGCAAGAGAACAGTAGAAGCTGCAAGGGCTCTTGAGGCCTAGGTGTGGAAGTTACACAGTGTTGCTTCCACCACGTTTTGTTGGACAAAACAAGTCAGAAGGCCAGCCTAGATGCAGTGGGAGAAGTAGACTCCAACTCTGATGGAAGGACCTGCAAAGAATTCATGGCCTTCCCTTCCACCCTCAACATACCACAAATAGAAAAGGGCAGGGTGAGTTTAGGATGTGTTACTTAGCCCAGCCCTGACCTCTGTTTCTCCTAGAACAAAGGCAAAGTATAAATTAAAATGAAAAATAGAAAAGTTTTACCAATAATTAACTAATTGAATTTTGAAGTTGAATTAGAAAACTATTTTTAAAAAGAATGTACTTTACTTACTTTTGAATATTCTCATAAACTTGAAAAACAGGAGTGTAAAGAATTCCTCAAGGTCCTGACTTTAGTAATAGGCCAGGATTATGTGTTATTACTACATCATTTGTTGTTTAACTAAATAACTTGGTCTTAAAATTTTTTAAGTATTTTAATATGCAACCTTGACCATAGTATTACTTTCCAAGGCAAATTTTTTAATTCACATTCCATACACATAGATATCTACAACCAACTACCTTTTAGATTGATCTGGAATTCTGAATTAGTAGATTCTGAATTAATGTTGTTTTTACGTCTTTATTCAACTAACTTTTACCAGTACTCAGCAGACACAAATGTGATTCCCTCTGAGTTATACTAGTTTACAGTCATCTGTGGTTTGCTATTTAATTCTGCTTTCTATTCTGAAAGAGTTCATAGCCTTTGTTCATTAATCAAGGGAAACAGTTGTGCAACATGCCTTGACATTAAGTTGAACATCTAAAATTAGTCCTGCTGCAATCAGTGGTTGGGGACAAGGCTTCAGTAGTTTTGGTATGTTTGACACCATGGTATGTAGATGTTGCAAGGTTGGAAAAATCTCTCTAGAAATAAGTAAGTGACTTGTGTTGTGTGTGTGTGCATGTGCCTATGTAGATACACAGTTTAAGATCTATTTTTATTACACAGATGAACAAAATTACATCTGTTACTATAATGCATCATAGCATCTTTGCTTATACACTGTGATGTTTGATTATTTCAGAAGAAAAATACACTTATTGAAAACTTGGTATGCTTGAGTGGATTTTTCTGCCTGTTTATTTTGGGGTTTTCATTTTTTAAATAAATAATTATATTATATATATTATATTTCAAGTGAATGGATTTTTTTTTCTTTTCAGAGTTTATAGAAACCTATTCACAAAAATGACATCCTGGTTGTATGAATGTCTTTGTGAAGCTGAACTTGCACAGTATTACCCTCATTTTACTGCCCTTGGCCTTCAAAAAATAGATGAATTAGCCAAGGTTACAATGAAAGACTACTCCAAATTGGGAGTCCATGACATGAAAGACCGCAAACGTCTCTTTCAACTTATCAACATCATTAAGATTATGCAGGAAGAGGATAAAGTAGTCAGTAGCCCAGAGCACCTTCAGTACATCAAGCCTCAGGAATCCAGATCTGGCCCTCGCAGGCAACTACATTTTGATTCTCCTGCTGACAACAAAGACAGAACTACCAGCAATGATGGGTTTGAAATGTGCAACTTAACAGATTTTTCTGCAAGTGAACAGAAGTCTAGTTACCTAAAAGTGCTGCAGCACATGCTACCAGAAGATTCCCAATACCACACAAAAACAAGAATCCTGAATGCCACAGCTGCTGATGCCCATGTGCAAACAGAAACTAACACTTCGCTCTTTTCATCAAATCATTTTTCTCCAATACTAGGGGATTGTGATAGTCCCATCGTTCAAAGAGTCTCTCATGTTTCAGGGTATAATTATGGAATCCCTCATTCTTGTATCAGGTAATAATTTATTTTTATAGCTCATTTTTTTGGAGGGAGGGAGGGTAGCCTCGGGCAAAGGTTGTCTTCATGACCAGGGGAGAGCAACTACTCCTTATTTTCAGAAAATGATAGTGAACAGCTTCGGCATCAACAATAGAAATACCTTGATGGGGGAAAATTAATGAGGAGTTGGGACTTTCCAGATGGGAGAAAGATGATATTGTTCATGTACATCAAACATCTGCTACTTGCCAGGATCTGCTGTTACCCCTATAGCAGACCTGTTTCTATTATTTATTATAGTGTAACATGATATACCTAGTGCATCCATGAAGGTAAAATAGTTAACTAGTCTTCTGTGATGGGGAAAAAAATTATACAATCCAAGGGATTGTTTTATAAGGCTGTCAAATTCACTTAAACCAACCAGGAGACATAAAGCTTAGTTAAAAACAAAGAGCATGTAAGTTGAATTAAGTAGGTCTTTGGAGCAGTTAGTTTACCTGCTCACATTGGTAAATGTTGCCCTGAGTGTGTGCTACAGTTCCAGGCCTGGATGAACAGGTTGTTTAGGTAACTGCAAAGAGTAAGACACTTTTGATGGAGTTTAGAGTTTGAAAGTTAGGGAGAGAATAAGTCATTTCAACCTAATGCCTCAAGTTAGAATTTGAAATAAGGTCCCCAAGAGCAGAGATATTGAGTAACCCCTAATACTAATATTGGTATAATAGAAAATACGTTCTTTTAAAAATAATGTGTTGCTTGTTTGTTATTTTAAAAGTTATAGATGGTGAGTTTGGAGAAACAAAATACATTCTTAAACCTCATTTTCCATTTCTTTTAAAAAAGGCTATTATTCATACCTTAAAACAAGCTACTTACATCTGGTCTTATATTGGCCAAGGTTTCAGAGGATCTCATCTCATACCCAGCCAATTCCTTTATCCCCCCACCCAAAATAGAAGATCCAATTTTAAAGGAAAAAATACCTTTAGTAATTTGAAATATGTGAGTTTTATAGTGTTTCTAAAGAGATTTTAGTGGGGAGGGTTTGGTTGAGCAGAGCAGATAGTACTGTTTTTTTCTTTTGTGAGAAGACCAGATTGCCCCATGACCATCAAAGCCAAGATTGTTGTTGTCCTATTGGTTAGCTCAGTGGTAAAAAGACAAATTTTTCTTGAATATTATGGTCTTTTGATTGAACAACATATAAAAATCAAAATTAGAATTATTTATAAATAGAAAAATACATCATTTTGCATTATTTATTTGGTTTGAGTGGATATTTTAGTTTCAATAGTGCTATTTCATTTATTTGGCAAATATTAAGTACCACCTCTACTAGGCTTGATTGCAGCTATAAAGATAATTAGGCTATCTGGAGACTTATGGACTCTTAGGGGACAGGGTAAGTGGGAAGACAGACAAACAACCATATGGTGAAATAAGTTCTTTTATAGAGGTTTATACATGACAAACCCAGAGCTTTCCCACCTTTAATGTAGTTATTATCTTACTCTTCCCATTCTTTATTAGAGAAATGGAGGTAAGAAAGAACATTTTCCCCAGTAATCCTCAGTATTGTCTTTTCACCCAAACCCTAAGTAGGAGTCAGTGTTTCAGAACTTTTGAGAAACTCTCTCACCAATTTAAGGCTTGCTGTTAGGGAGTAATCCTATCCAAAGAGCATTCTGTTTGGATGCCTCAGATCAGGTAAATTCAGAATAAACCACCAGCCTCAGAATCTTAATAAAAGTCTAAGGCATTTAGAACACTGGCTGGCCTGACATATTTAAGATCTTGAATAGACCTAACTCTTTGCGTGTCAGACAGATACAGCTTATTTCTTCTAGGGAACATTGGGCATTGAAACCGAGCCTCTTAGGAGAAGAATATTCATTCCTTTTTCCCCTTGAACTTGAAAACTGCAATTCTTTTGTTCATATCATCCATCCTAGTCCCTGGTCATTTTTGAAAAGGGTATTTTCTGTCCTCTTTGATTACCTTTATATGATGGGTTATTGGTACTCACCAGCAATGAGAGATTTTGACATAAGGCCCTTGTTAAAATGCTGCACTAAAATTTTGTTTCTTGTAAACTATCAAACATGTGCAAAAGAACAGAGAATAGAACAGTGAAACCCCCATATGTCCATCATTCACTTTTTTAATTGAAGTATCGTTGATATACAATTTTATGTTGGTTTCAAATATACAACACAGAGGTTCAACAATTATCCATATTATTAACTCTTCAACCTCTCTAGTGCAGTTACTGTCTATCAACGTAGAAAGATATATAGAATCATTGACTATGTTCTCCATGCTATACTGCCATCCCTGTGACCAACTTATATTGTGATTGTGAATTATTGTGCCCCTGTATCCCCTTCATGCTCCCCCCGAACTCACCCCAGCCACCTCCTACTTGGTAACCACTAGTCACTTCTCAGTGTCTATCAGTCTACTGCATCATTCACTTTTTTTAATTAAGGTATCATTGATATATAGAAAGGTTACACAAGAAAAACAATGTGGTTATTACATTCACCCTTATTATCGAGTCCCTTCCCATACCCCATTACAGTCAGTGTCCATCAGCATAGTAAGATGCTATAGAGTCCCTACTTGTCTTCTCTGTGCTACACTGTCTTCCCCGTGACTCCCCCCCACACCATGTGTGCCGATCATGATACCCCACAATCCCCTTCTCTCTCCCTCCCCACCCACCCTCTCCTACCCCTCCCCTTTGGTAACCACTAGTTCCTTCTTGGAGTCTGTGAATCTGCTGCTATTCTGTTCCTTCAGTTTTTCTTCGTTGTTTTACTCCACAAATGAGGGAAGTCATTTGGCATTTGTCTTTCTCTGCCTGACTTATTTCACTGAGCATAATACCCTCTAGCTCCATCCATGTTGTTGCAAATGGTAGGATTTGTTTCTTTCTTATGGCTGAATAGTATTCCATTGTGTGCATCATTCACTTTTAATGATTGTCAAGATTTTGCCATTTAACCTCAAAATGGTACATTTTTTAAAGTCTACTATATGTTGGTTTAAAAAAAAAAAGCTTCAAAAGTCTTGAGTAGTCCTTTATGCATTATACTAGAAATTTTATTTGCTACTTCTTACTAATTTAGATCCCAGCAAAAAAATAATTTTCCAGACAGTTGGAGGGCTCATAAAATTGAAATTGATATGAAACAATTATGTAGTGAAATATTTGTATAAAATTTATAAAAGGCTTTTTAGGGGCTATTCATCAAATTCTGAAGTGTAAAGGGAGATAATAATTTGTCTTACTAAGGTATTCTTAGTATATGCACCAAAGGCATTTATCCTAATAAAACTACTTTCAAGAGTCCTATTTTTTTTTTGTTACCTAGCTTAATAGGAATCTCTGTATAGATAAGTAGTCAGTTCTTAAATATATACATATGTGCCACCATTAGGCTCAGCAAGTAAACCTGATGAACTTTGTCTCTCTTATCCAAGGAATATTGCCTCAAATATTCTGGATGTTAAGGTTAATGAGTTCACTGAAGTTAGAGACAGAGAAAAAATGCATCTGAATAAAAGGGTGAATTGGTGGTGGACAGTACCAGCCATAAAATTGTCCTGGGGAGAAGAAATATAGGATTATGTTCTAACAAACACATATCAGGGTGGACAAAAAGAGGACGTAGGAGAACAAGACAAAGGGAAGGGCAGAATACAATTGGGGAGGAGTAGGGGAAAAGAACACTGAAACCTACCACCTAATTCAAAGTATTTAGTAAACCAAGATAGGATAAAAAAAGAAATTAGATTGAATGGTCAAGAAAACAGTAAATGTGCAAGAATAATTGGATTGACAGGAAGCAAGAGACATGGGTTTGGGTCTTGTAAGGGTCTTGAAAGGGTGGTACCAGCATTAGAGTTGAGGATTAACCAGCCTTTTTGGGGGATATAAGGAACATATATCACCCATTGTTAGAAGCCTTTTCGAAGATCACACCTAGAAGCCACACACAAGTCTTTGACCTAAAGCCCCCCTTAGGTCTTTGGGTTTGTTTATTTTGTTTTTGCCAGGGCAAGTGATGGGGTGGAGTAGGGATGGAGACAGATGTAATCAGGGAGATATAGCTAATAAAAGAACTTTCTCAGTGTCATGTATATTAGATATATGTATATTATATATATTCAACTAAAATATAAACAAAACTTAATATGTAACAAAATGTATAGATTCTTTGACCTGTTAAGTGGCCTTATCCTATTATTAAAAACTAAAGCCCTCTTATAAACATATCAGACATAGCACCTCAGAGAAAGAGAATCCTTGGACTGAGATGGAGAAAATAAGAGTTTGTGTTCGAAAGCGCCCTCTGGGCATGAGGGAGGTACATCGTGGAGAAATTAATATTATTACTGTAGAAGACAAAGAAACTCTACTTGTTCATGAGAAGAAAGAAGCAGTTGACCTCACACAATATATTCTGCAGGTAAAATACTTTCCTTTTGTGTCTGGAACTAATTATTATATGCGTCAACTTTTTGCTTTTTAAGTGGCAGCATACAAATCCTAAAATTCAGTTTGGGTGTTGGCATTAATTCCTGATGTGACATTGTATTAAATTATAGATACCTTAGGCCTTCATTTGAAAAACATAGTGAAATGGGGATACAAAAATTAAATCCTCATCTCTAGTGCAACAGAGTCACATCATACATTTACTTGCTTTATATGAGTTTAATTATGTATGTTCAGCAAAAAAGAATGAAGGCATACAAAGAATTTAAATAATGAATTGGTGGTAGACAGAACCAGTCACTGGGCATATGCTCCAGAGTGAGTATGAGATGGCCACATAGCTAGTCTCAATTCTTGCCCAGCTCTCACAGTGCAAATATGTCTGCTCAGTGTGAGTCTGGAGTTCAATGTTGGAAGATAGATTTTTGAGCAACAAAGCCCCAGATTGCCGACCAACTGCTTATTTTGATTCTCAGTTGTCTTTGGGCTTGAACTTAATTTGGTAGAAATTGGGCTCTTGAGCAGGCCACTTTGTACAGGGTGGATTGCAGTGAATAAGTATAATCCCAGGTGTATAACTTCACATCTAACATTTAAGGGACAGGTATCCTTCCGATAACTCTTCAGTCTCATACAGAAGCAGCAAACCCCATAGGTGAAAAATATTGTAATTTAGGTATTCCTAAAATTATGGAGCATGTGAATAAAATGGGATATCCACCAAATGGTAAAATTTGGGAATTTAGTTTATTTTACTCTGAATCTGTCTCACTAAACATTCATATTATTCTCTATCTCTTGCCTCAAAATACAGTTACTGTTAGAAAGCAAGCAAACGGTGAGTAATCTGGTGTGCTAGCAATTCACTTTAGTCAGCTGACATCTTACTCTACTGGAATAAATCCTTTAACACTGAAGTCAAATTGTTAACACTTTTCCCCTCTTTTACACTTGCATTGTTCTTCTTTTTCTTTGGTTACCAAAATTGAGTTTCACAATGACATTCAAAGTAATTCACTGAGTCTTTAATAATGGCACTAAATTACTAAGCAACTGTATAACCAACCCAACCACTTTAACAGCCTTATTGATTGCTGATCAATGCACAATCTATTAGGTCTAGGTGGGAAGTATTTATTTTGAAGATTGTCTAAATGACCAATTAGTTGTAATGCTGTCTAGTTCCATGACTACTACCAAAGACATCCTTAATGATGCTTCTGTCACAGTAATTCCCTCAAGGACCATCATCTTATCTTTTTGTATTTTTTCCATTATTGCCAAACACAATAACCTTACTTCTTTGTCATTACCATTGGTCAATACTTATTGAATATCTATAGTTTCTGTAGTGCTTTCTCTGCTATTTGAACTTTGGACCTTTGCTCTCATAGGTCAAAGTCCTTACCTATCAATGCCATAATATAAAAGTGCTGGGAAGGCTTCCCCCCTTTTTTCCTTACATAACTAGAAAGACGAAAAGGGAAGTTCAGAGCTAACTTAGCAAATAAAGATCCTGGACCTTTGGTTTTCATTTTGACACTTACTCAGAAACTCAAACAATAGGTTTGTCCATTTAATTAAATATCCTTTCCTTTCAAATCTTTTGTTAGTATAGACAGATGATCATATACATGTAATGTGCAATCCTACCTACCATTAAATTTTATATCAACATAATAAGTGGGAGGAAAAAGGAAACAAATCTGTATCTGTTTTAATCCAATTTCTTAAATAGGGAAAAAATATATTTCAAAAAACAAGATGGTATTGAAATATATCAAAAAAGTCAACAGTGGCTTTTCAGGTAGTAAGATTTACAGGAAATTTTATTTTCTTCTCTGTTGTTTTCCATGTTTTTAAATTTTTCTACAACCAGCTGTCTTACTTTTACATAAAATAAAATCTTCTGAATAGCATAGGTTCACCTATTTCAGAATCAAAAGGCACAAAAGGGTATGCAGTAATCCCACTTCCTCCTAGAAGGCAAGCAGTATTATGTGTTCTAAGTGTATCTTTTCAGAGATAGTCTATAAATACATATTACTTTTATAATCTGAAAAAGTTTATTTAAAAAATAAACTATGGAAGTCTAATTATATCAAGGCTAAAGTAGGTGTTAATGCATACTCACAAAGTATGATCAAAGTATATGTAATGCAAAGGACTTTATGATTCATATTATATATATTTTTTAATTACAATAATTTGCATGTATGCATATATTTCATGAAAGATGCTTACAAAAGTACTGGAAAAGTCAATACCTAAATCCTATTGGAAAGATACTAGTTCCTTTAATCAATAGGTGCTTTCTAAAGTTTTTACTCAAGAGCTAAAATTACTCACAAGCACTTATAGAGAGGAAGAAAAGGCATATACTTCACAAAATAAAAGAAAAAATTCGCACATTTACTTATATTCATTTTTGTCTTCTTTTCTGGAGAAAGATCTTGTACGTAAACTATAAAAACCTATGGTGTTATTTGAGCAATGAATTAATTTGTCTCCTTTCTTAAAGACCAGTTATGAGTTGGATGTAGATCATATTCATTAAAGTTGAACTTTAGAATTATGTTTGCTCTTTATTATTGCCATTTTCAATCTTATTCAAAAGTATAATGAATCCCTATGTACCTGTCACCCAGCTTTAACAGTTAAAAACATTTTATTGTTCTTTAAAGTCTTATTGCATTTTTCATACTAAAAGTTCATAGGTCTCTTTATCATGTTGTACAGATACATTATTTTCTTACCTACTAACTTTTGGAGAAATTTTCTGATAAATTCAAATTTGGGGCCCCAGTTTCCTCTCAGATGACCTAACATATTTCCATTCTAATGTAATGATACATGAAACAGAATTGAACCTGGGATAGAGTGACTCATGACAAATTGGTCCAAGTCCATTTTTCTGGATTTGACCATATAATTTTTCCTTATCTGGATATTTAGAGCAGGCCCAAAAGGTAGTAGAAGATAGGGCACCATCTCTCATTTGTTGGGTATATATTGCCATTATTATGCTACAATCAGGCTTGAAATTATTAGTATTTCTTAACTCAGATATAGTTAGGCTGCCAACATTTAAGCCTCTAAATCATGCAAATAATTATGGCTGCTGAACTAATGCTTTCCAGACCTAATTTAACAGGAATGGGTTCTTCTGTCTCTTCTTTTCCAGATTACCATGGTTTTCATTTGGGAGTCATCCTGGGCTCCTTTCTCTCCCCTGCTCCCCACACTCAGGCAATGGCCAAATTTCTCATGTGTCCATCTCCTCTTTATTTTCATTGTCATCTAATTTGTGACCCTTCTTACCTCACCACTGAGTTACTAGTATCCCTGTTCCCAGTCCATTAACAGTGTGAACCCAGATTAATCTTTCAGTAAAACAACTCAAATCATCCCTTTCCTTTGCAAAGGTTTTAATTGTCTTCCCATTGTTTACTAAATTAAATGTGAACATTCCACTCCTTCCCTTAAAGCTCATGTCCCAAGACCCCATCCACATAGTCCTAACTCATTGTTCTAGCCTTCTGTTTCACCTTTCTGCCTACCAGGAGCTTAATTTTAACCACATTGAATCCTCCCTGTTCCCTTAACGCTTTCCTGCTTTGACTGTTTGCTCAAATTTCCCTGTGCCCACGATAACCTGCCCTGCCTCCATCTCTACCGCTCAAACTCTTTTTTTTCCCCTAGGCCCATTCTCAGTGTAGTCTTTTTCATAGTGTTGTTCCCAATCAGAAGGAAGATGTTTTTTCTTTGAATTCAACATGTACTGTATCTCACACTTTTCTACCTTATAGTCATTTGTATACTTGTCTGGATTAGCATCTTTAGGCGAGGGTTGGGGAAATGGTAGGGTAATGCCTATGTCTTTGGGCCTCTTGACGTGCCTACTGCAGTTATACTGAATATTCAGCTACTAGCTAAATAATAAATGTTTATGTAATTAAAAGTTAAGATATATAACCTATGGAATAGAGATCTTCCTCTAGAATTCCCCCAAAATTTCAGGTTCACTGCCCCAAGCTGGGCTATGAGAATAATCCCATAGAATTCAGTTATTCACCTAGACCTAAGGAGAATTTGCTTGCTGTTGTACTCAGTTTAAGAGGACTTCACATAAGAGAGAACAAAAATTGGGTGCCTTAGTTTTTATACTGTAAGAACATGTCTACAGAGATCTCAAGTAAAAGAAGACCCTGTGATTTGAGAGTTATTGATTGCTTGTTTATCTCTAAGTTTGTCATCATTGGTTACTATTAATTAAAAATGCATTTGTGCCTTTATCTGTAACTAGAATAGTGGTGAAGAAAGTCCAGAAAATGTGTCTTTCTGTAAAAATCAAATTTCTTTTTCAGCATGTTTTTTATTTTGATGAAGTCTTTGGTGAGGCATGCACCAATTGGGAGGTATACATGAAGACTACTCACCCACTCATTCAGCATATTTTCAATGGGTATGATAGTAATATTTGTTTCTCTTGCTTTTTATTTTCTATTTTTCTATAAATCATATTTCTTAATAAATATCACTTATGCTTTTCAATCCTTTGAAGTAAAAATGAATTTGTTTTGATGTAGTGAATTGAAATTAGACCCTTCTGAAAAGTGCAATGTCTCTATACAATTTGCCACACATTCACAGATTTTCAGCAAAATTTCCTTTTAAACTGATGATATTGATTCTCTGTGCTTAGTGGAAAAATATAAGCTCTCAACAACCTAATTTCATCAAAGTCCTCAGATTAAAAAGGTTAAAGTGGTTGTAGTTAGTTTGAACTTTTGATAATAAGGAATTATGTATTCTGGCTATAATGCAGTTAATATTTTCATTGGATGGAATAGATAAGTGATTATCATCCATTTTTCATAGATGTGTTTTTTTTAATTTTGAGATAATTATTCACACTTAGTAAACATTAAACGGGACAGAAAAGGCACTAGGGACTTCCCATTGTATAATTAAAATGTAGGCAGGTATGGGTAGAAAATGCCACATAACCTGTTATGGTTGCTAATTCCAGAATATTTTGACTTTTTAAAAATAGTTTTTATAACTTTAAAAAATTGAGGTGTGATTATTTATAATAAGATGTGCAATGTTAAGAAGTATTCAGGTTTGATGAATTTTGATACTTGTATATACCCAAGTAACCAATACCTAGAACAAGATGTAGAACATTTCCATTACCCCTGAAAGTTCTCTTGTGTCCCTTTTTAGTTAATCCCTACTTCCACCCTCAAGTCTTAATAACCACTGACCTGCTTTCTGTCATTATAGAGTTTGCCTATTGTAGAATGTCATAGAAATAGAATCAGTTCAATATATATTCTTTTATGCCTATCCTCCTTTGCTTAGCATAATGTTTTTTGATTTAGTACATGCTGTTGCATGTTTCTGTGGTTTTTGTTGCTGAGTAAGTAATATTCCCTTCTATGAATATACCACAACTTGTTTATCAGTTCTCCTGTTGATGGACATTTGGGTCATTTCCAGTTTTGGACGATTACGAATTAAACTACATAAACATTCTTGTACGGTCTTTTTGTGGGCCTGTTTTCATTTATCTTGAGTAAAAACCTAGAAATGGAATTTCTGGGACATAGGAATGGTATGTATTTAAAAGAAGGTTATCAAACAATTTCCCATACTCCCAACAGCAATGTATGAGAATTGCAGTTCTGTATCCTTGCTGTATTTGGTATTGTCAGTATTTTTTGTTTTAGCCAGTCTAATGGGTATGAAGCTGTATCTCATTGTGTGTTTTTTTTTTGTTATCATTAATCTACAATTACATGAAGAACATTATGTTTACTAGGCTCCCCTCTTCACCAAGAACCCCCTCACAAACCTCATTACAGTCACTGTCCATCAGCATAGTAAGAAGCTGTAGAATCACTACTTGTTTTTTCTGTGTTGTACAGCCCTCTCCATGCCTCCCCCACATTATACATGCTATTCGTAATGCCCCCTTTTTCCATGCCCTTATCCCTCCCTTCCCACCCATCCTCCCCAGTCCCTTTCCCTTTGGTAACTGTTAGTCCATTCTTGGGTTCTGTGATTCTGCTGCTGTTTTGTTCCTTCAGTTTTTCTTTGCTTCTTATACTCTACATATGAGTGAAATCATTTGGTACTTGTCTTTCTCCGCCTGGCTTATTTCACTGAGTATAATACCCTCTAGCTCCATCCATGTTGTTGCAAATGGTAGGATTTGTTTTCTTCTTATGGCTGAATAATATTCCATTGTGTATATGTACCACATCTTCTTTATCCATTCATCTACTGATGGACACACACTTAGGTTACTTCCACTTCTTGGCCATTGTAGACAGTGCTGTGATAACCATAGAGGTGCATATGTCTTTTTCAAACTGGGCTCTTGAATTCTTAGGGTAAAATCCTAGGAGTGGGATTCATGGGTCAAATGGTATTTCTATTTTGAATTTTTTGAGGAACCTCCATACTGCTTTCCAAAATGGTTGAACTAATTTACATTCCCACCAGCAGTGTAGGAGGGTTCCCCTTTCTCCACAACCTCACCAACATTTGTTGTTGTTTGTCTTTTGGATGGTGGTGATCCTTACTGGTGTGAGGTGACATCTCATTGTGGTTTTAATTTGCATTTCTCTGATGACTAGCGATGTGGAGCATCTTTTCATGTGCCTGTTGGCCATCTGAATTTCTTCTTTGGAGAACTGTCTGTTCAGCTCCTCTGCCCATTTTTTAATTGGATTCTTTGCTTTTTGTTTGTTAAGGTGTGTGAGCTCTTTATATATTTTGGATGTCAACCCTTTATTGGATCTGTCATTTATGAATATATTCTCCCATACTGTAGGATAACTTTTTGTTCTATTGGTGGTGTCCTTTGCTGTACAGAAGCTTTTCAGCTTGATATAGTCCCACTTGTTCATTTTTGCTTTTGTTTCCCTTGCCTGGGGAGATATGTTCATGAAGAAGTCGCTCATGTTTATGTCTAAGAGACTTTTGCCTATGTTTTTTTCTAAGAGTTTTATGGTTTCATGACTTACATTCAGGTCTTTGATCCATTTCAAATTTACTTTTGTGTATGGGGTTAGACATTAATCCAGTTTCATTCTCTTACATGTAGCTGTCCAGTTTTGCCAACACCATCTATTGAATAGACTGTCATTTCCCCATTGTATGTCCATTATTGTATATTTTTTGTATACAATTAATATACAATAATATACAATATTGTACCTTCATAGATGCTGAAAAAGCATTCCACAAAATTCAACATCCATTCATGATAAAAACTCTCAACAAAATGGGCATAGAGGGCAAGTACCTCAATATAATGAAGGCCATATATTTTTTGACCTTTATTGTATATTATTGTATTATTGTATTGTATATTAATTGACCATATATGTTTGAGTTAATGTCTGGAGACTCTTCTGTTCCACTGGTCTGTTGCTCTGTTTTTCTGCCAGTACCAAATTGTCTTGATTACTGTGGCTTTGTAGTAGAGCTTGACGTTGGGGAGCGAGATCCCCCCCACAACTTTATTCTTTCTTCTCAGGATTGCTTTGTATATTCGGGGTCTTTGGTGTTTCCGTAGAATTTTTGAACTATTTGTTCCAGTTTGTTGAAGAATGCTATTGGTAATTTGATAGGGATTGCATTAAATCTGTATGTTGCTTTGGGCAGGGGAGCCATTTTGACAGCATTAATTCTTCCTAGTCAAGAGCATGGGATGAGTTTCCATTTGTTAGTGTCCTCTTTAATTTCTCTTAAGAGTGTCTTGTAGTTTTCAGGGTATAAGTCTTTTACTTCCTTGGTTAGGTTTATTTCTAGGCATTTTATTCTTTTTGATGCAATTGTGAATGGAATTGTTTTCCTGATTTCTCTTTCTATTAGTTCATTGTTAGTGTATAGGAAAGCCACAGATTTCTGTGTTAATTTTGTATCCTGCAACTTTGCTGAATTCCGATATCAGTTCTAGTAGTTTTGGAGTAGAGTCTTTAGGGTTTTTTATTTACAATATCATGTCATCTGCAAATAGTGACAGTTTGACTTCTTCTTTACCAATCTGGATTCCTTGTATTTCTTTGTTCTGTCTAATTGCCATAGCTAGGACCTCCAGTACTATGTTGAATAATAGTGGGGAGAGTGGGCATCCCTGTCCTGTACCCGATCTGAGAGGAAAAACTTACAGCTTCTCACTGTTCTGTATGATGTTGGCTGTGGATTTCTGATATATGGCCTTCATTATATTGAGGTAGTTGCCCTCTATGCCCATTTTGTTGAGAGTTTTTATCATGAATGGATGTTGAATTTTGTGGAATGCTTTTTCAGCATCTATGAAGATAATCATGTGGTTTTTGTCCTTCTTTTTATTTATGTGGTGGATGATGTTGATGGATTTTCAAATGTTGTACCATCCTTGCATCCCTGAGATGAATCCCACTTGCTCATAGTGTAGATCCTTTTGATATATTTTTGAATTCAGTCTGCTAATATTTTGTTGAGTATTTTTGCATCTACGTTCATCAGGGATATTGTTCTATAATTTTCTTTTTTGGTGGGGTCTTTGCCTGGTTTTGGTATTAGGGTGATGTTGGCTTCATAGAATGAATTTGGGAGTACTCCCTCCTCTTCTATTTTTTGGAAAACTTTAAGGAGAATGGGTATTATATCTTCTCTGCATGTCTAATAAAATTCCAAGGTAAATCCACCTGGCCCGGGGGTTTTGTTCTTGGGTAGTTTTTTGATTACTGATTCAATTTCTTTGCTGGTAATTGGTTTGTTTAGATTTTCTGTTTCTTGGTCAGTCTTGGAAGATTGTATTTTTCTAGGAAGTTGTCCATTTCTTCTAGGTTTTCCAGCTTGTTAGCATATAGGTTTTCATAGTATTCTCTAATAATTCTTTGTATTTCTGTGGGGTCTGTCATGATTTTTCCTTTCTCATTTCTGATTCTATTGATGTGTGTTGATTCTCTTTTTCTCTTAATTAGTCTGGCTAGAAGCTTATCTATTTTGTTTATTTTCTCAAAGAATCAGCTCTTGGTTTCATTGATTTTTTTATTGTTTTATTCTTCTCAATTTTATTTATTTATTTTCTGATCTTTATTATGTCCCTCCTGCTGACTTTAGGCCTCATTTGTTCTTCTTTTTCCCATTTTGATAATTGTGATGTTAGACTATTCATTTGGGATTTTTCTTCCTTTTTTAAATATGCCTGGATTGCTATATACTTTTCCTTTTATTACTGCTTTTGCTGTGTCCCACAGAAGTTGGGGCTTTGTGTTGTTGTTCTTATTTGTTTCCATATATTGCTTGATCTCTATTTTAATTTGGTCATTGATCCATTGATTATTTAGGAGCATGTTGTTAAGCCTCCATGTGTTTGTGAGCCTTTTTACTTTCTTTGTACAATTTATTTCTAGTTTTATACCTTTGTGATCTGAAAAGTTGGTTGGTAGAATTTCAATCTTTTTGCATTTACTGAGGCTCTTTTTGTGGCCTAGTATGTGCTCTATTCTGGAGAATGTTCCATTGCACTTCAGAATGTGTATCCGATTGCTTTTGGATGTAGAGTTCTATAGATGTCTATTAGGTCCATCTGTTCTAGTGTGTTGTTCAGTGCCTCTGTGTCCTTACTTATTTTCTGTCTGGTGGATCTGTCCTTTGGAGTGAGTGGTGTGCTAAAATCTCCCAAAATGAATGCATTGCATTCTATTTCCTCCTTTAATTCTGTTAGTATTTGTTTCACATATATTGGTGCTCCTGTATTGGGTGCATATATGTTTATAATGGTTATATCCTCTTTTTGGACTGAGCCCTTTATCATTATGTAATGTCCTTCTTTGTCTCTTGTTACTTTCTTTGTTTTGAAGTCTATTTTGTCTGATACTAGTACTGCAACATCTGCTTTTTTTCCTTGTTGTTTGCATGAAATATCTTTTTCTATCCCTTCAGTTTTAGTCTGTGCATGTCTTTGGGTTTGAGGTGAGTCTCTTGTAAGCAGCATATAGGTGGATCTTGCTTTTTTATCCATTCTATTACTGTGTGTTTTGATTGGTGCATTCAGTCCATTTACATTTAGGGTGATTATTGAAAGATATGTACTTATTGCCATTGCAGGCTTTAGATTCCTGGTTACCAACGGTTCAAGGTTAGCTTCTTTATTATCTTACTGTCTAACTTAACTCGCTTATTGAGCTATTATAAACAGTCTGATGATTCTTTATTTCTCTCCCTTCTTATTCCTCCTCCTCCATTCTTTATATGTTGTGTGTTTTATTCTGTGCTCTTTTGTGTTTCCTTTGACTGCTGTTGTTGGTAGTTGATTTTATTTTTTGCCTTTAGTTAGTATTTTGTTGGTCTGCTTTCTTTGCTGTGATTTTATTTTCTCTGGTGACATCTATTTAGCCTTAGGAGTGCTTCCATCTAGAGCAATCCCTCTAAAATACCCTGTAGAGGTGGTTTGTGGGAGGCAAATTCCCTCAACTTTTGCTTGTCTGGGAATTGTTTAATCCCTCCTTCATATTTAAATGATAATCGTGCTGGATACAGTATTCCTGGTTCAAGGCCCTTCTGGTTCATTGCATTAAATATATTATGCCATTCTCTTCTGGCCTGTAAGGTTTCTGTCTGATGGTAGCCTGATGGGATTTCCTTTGTAGGTGACCTTTTTCCTCTCTCTAGCTGCCTTTGAAACTCTGTCCTTGTCCTTGATCTTTGCCATTTTAATTATTATATGTCTTGGTGTTGTCTTCCTTGGGTCCCTTCTTTTGGGAGTTCTGTGTACTTCTGTGGTCTGAGCTACTATTTCCTCCTCCAGTTTGGGGAAGTTTTCAGCAATTATTTCTTCAAATACACTTTCTATCCCTTTTTCTCTCTCTTTTCTTATGGTACCCCTATAGTAAGGATATTGTTCCTTTTGGATTGGTCACACAGTTCTCTTAATATTGTTTCATTCCTGGAGATCCTTTTAGCTCTCTCTGTGTCAGCTTCTATGTGTTCCTGTTCTCTGGTTTCTATTCCATCAATGGCCTCTTGAATCTCATCCATTCTGCTTTTTTATCCTTCCAGAGATTGTTTTTTTTCTGTAGTCTCCCTCCCTACCTTGTCCGTTAGCTCTTGCATTTTTCTCTGCAGCTCCATCAGCATGGTTATGACCTTTATTTTGAATTCTTTTTCAGGGAGATTGGTTAGGTCTATCTCTCCAAGCTCCTTCTCAGAGGCCATCTCTGTGATTTTGGTCTGGATCAAATTCTTCTGCCTTTTCATGGCAATAGAGGTTGTTGTGGGGAGCTGGCACGTGTGTCAGCTGGGAGAACGTCCCTTCTTGCTGGTTTGTGGCCTTCCTCTCCTGGGAGAACGGCGACCCATAGCGGCTTGTGCTGGGCAGCTAAGCGCAGATGGGGTCTCATTCTTGCCTGGCCTCTGTGGAGTAAGCTCCGCAGTTGCTGTGGGCATGGCCGCTCTCAGGCTGCTGCTCTGCTATGGCAGAGCCGCACTGGAGGGGGAATGGGCAGGAGGCTGTTTATCGCTGTGAGGGGCCTCAGGAGCTGCACTGCCTCCCAGGGGATTAGGGCTCCCAGAGTTCCCCGGGATACCCAGCTGCTGGGCTGAGTGTCCTGGGATGCTTCCATCTAGCTGTGGGGTCCCTGTCCGTTTAAGACTTTCAAAAAGCACTCGCTTTTCTTTGTCCCAGGGGCACCAGGTTCAGAGACCCGCTCGCAGGTTTTACTGTCCTGTTTCCCTAGTATCCAGCACACCATGCACGGTGTGTCTGGGCTCCCGGTGTGGATGACTAGGGCTGGATGTTTAGCAGTCCTGGGCTCCCTCTCCCTCCCCACTCTGACTCCTGTCCTCCCGCCGGGAGCTGGGGTGAGGTGCGCTTGGGTACCGCTGGGCCGCAGCTTGTATCTTACCCCCTTCGTGAGGCGCTGGGTTCTCGCAGGTGTAGATGTAGCCTGGCTGTTGTCCTGTATCTTCTGGTCTCTCTTTTAGGGATAGTTGTATTTGTTGTATTTTCAAAATTGTATATGGTTTTGGGAGGAGATTTCCACTGCTCTACTCACGCTGCCATCTTGGCTCCTCCCTCCTCATTGTGGTTTTGATTTGAATTTCTCTAATACCTAGTCATGCTGAGCATCTTTTCATGGGCTTATTGGTCATTCAAGTATCTTCTTTGCCCAGTTTTTGTGTTGTCTTTTTATTGATTTTACAGAGGTCATTAAAAAATTATTTTGTGAGCCATAAAAAGTGAAATATCTTTCAGGTTCAATTTCTTGTGAACCAAATCTAGGGAGTGCTTTTTGAGAGAGGGAATTTCTAAAATAAGATAATATTTCAATGTGAAGACATTACCAATAAAAAATAAGAGTTGTGAGTTAAGTGCATCTATTCTGTAAAGTGTAATAAGAGATTTTTTCATTCCCATATTTGTCTTTTTGTGGGTTTTTTTGGTTTTTGCTTTCAAAAAGCTCATCACCAAAGTGTTCAGAAAATAAGGTAAATTGTATTGTTTACTCTAATTCTGCTTGATCTTTGGTGTATTTAAATTTTTCTCCTATAATCCTTTACCTAACTCGGCCTCTGCCTGTGTATTCAAGTGTCCACATTGCTGGGAGTCGGGATTCAAAAGACAAGGAATAACTGATCTCAGCTCAAGCAGCTTAAATCTGATCAGTTCCCATCTCTTGATTCTCACACTTTAATGGTTCCTTTGCTCTTGTCATAATACTCTTACCTTGGTTTCTGTCTGGCTTCAGGTCTGTTTCTTCTTATTTATCTTTCAGCCTAACTCCTTCCCCCTACCTCTGTATCTGTACATAGACTTTCTTCTTGCTGCGAGTAGCTACTTTTATCATTAACACATGTGATTCCTGTTCAAGAGTTTGCAATAGGTACTTTCTACCTAACATTATGCTCATTCTCTACTTAGTACTACGTAGTTGGGCCCCACAATCCTCAAGTAATCTTGGCTTCAACTCCCCCTAAAATGTACTGTGATTGACAGGTTGGTCTGCTTTCCACCTCTTACTCTGCAATTCTTCACACTCATATATAAGGTGTGTTCACACATGTACCCACCCATATGCAAGAATAATGATTCTTACATAGAATCATAGGGCATTAGATCTAGAAGGGATCTTAGAAATCAAGTAACCATTAATTTATTAAAGTGAAATCTGAGGCCCTGAGAGAAGCCCTTTTAGGAGTCTTTTCTCAAATATTTTACTTACATTGATTTCACTTGTCCAAACTTCTTTAGTATTCATATGAGTAATCACTACCATCCTGTTTAGTGTGTGATCCTGTATTCTTTATTGTTTTTATTTTAATTCTCTATTTTTTGACCAAACTTACTTTTCAGGAGTAAGGCAAAATTGTATCCTCTGGGGTCCTCTAAAGCACCTAGGAAGGGGTCCTTGTTTCCCTATCTTCCTGAGTTGTCTTACGGTGTTAACCAGTTCCTTAAAAAATTCCTATAAGAAAACTCATGTACTGATTTGAGAATTTTTTTCCTCTTTCTATGATTTTATAATGTAAAACCCTCCTCTTTTTAAATAATTATATGTTCATAGCTGAATTTTGTCAAGGATTCTGTTTTTACCTGACTTTTATCATTAAAAATCTACGTAGATTAACATCTGCTATCTTCATATGTATAAGTAATACAAATGATTCTTCCCCTAGAGGCAATGCCACTTGCTTTGCATATGGACAAACAGGCGCTGGAAAGACCTACACCATGATAGGAACTCATCAGAACCCAGGACTGTATGCTCTTGCTGCCAAAGATATCTTCAGGCACCTAGAAGTGTCCCAGCCAAGAAGGCACCTCTTTGTGTGGATCAGCTTCTATGAAATCTACTGCGGACAGCTTTATGACCTCCTAAACAGAAGAAAAAGGTACTGGTTATGAGTAGGAAACAGTAAATCTGTTCATCTTTGTTTCAAGCCAGAGTCTCACAAAATCATTTAATCATGGAATTTAATGAGATGCCTTGGTACATTAATTAATGCCCTTTTGTGAAATGAGTCTCCTGAATCAGATGCCATATTTTTTTAAACTGTCAGTTCAGCTACAGAAAAATGTAAATTAGCCTTCAGTTAGTATTTTTAAATTGATCAATGTTCAATGGTTATCAAAGACTATCCCTTTTATTTTGGTCTATGAAAAAGGTCATAATTTCAGGAAGTCAGGAAATCAACATGCACTTAAAATCCCTTCCTATTCTTTTGACCTATTATTATACTGGAAGAACTATAAATAATGTTTTCCACTTGCTCTTGTTTTTTTCTCCCAATAATCTTACACTAAACTCAATGATGGTTTTTCAAAATCAATAAAAAGAAAAGAAAATATTTTTTTCACATTATACTTTTAACTATCATTAGGCTTAAACTATTGCTTTTGCAGCATAATGAATTAATTTAGAAATGTATTCAGTAACTCTGATTTTAAATCCCTTTTGTATTTTTCTAGCATAAAAAGTTTGTTTAGGTTGAAACTGATGACTTTAACTGAGTAGGAGGCAAAGAAGTTGTGAAGACATTGGCTGACTGGAAGAATAGGGAGGAGAGATGAAGTAGGGGAGGTGGAAGAATAAAAGGCTCTCATAACAGGATTAACCAGACCTGAGACATGTTGGTGCAGCCACATCAGGTGGAGAGAAGTGAGTTGAAGCTGAGTGTGGTAGAAGGAAACCAAATCAGTGAAAGAGACTAGCCCCCAGCAAAGATACCCAAGCCCCTCTGGAGCTATCCAAAAGGGTGTGCAAGTTCCTCGTGTGCTTGGCAAGCTCTGGAATGGGGTATGGGAGTGGAGAAGCAGCTCCATTTCAGTAAGGCGGGTGTGACAGGGCAGGCCCCCACCGTAGAGGGGCACTAGGATATTGGGGAGCATAACTGGAGAAGCCAGTGAATGGGCTTAGACAGGCCACCATCCTGTGGACTATTCCAAAGGAAAGGGAATCTTTGAGAATGACACAGTTCAGAGGATGTACAGGTGTTCAGAGTTCAGTCCTGACATAACAACTGTCAAATAAAGAAGGGCAATACTCTAGGGTTGCTCTGGGGAAGAGTTGTCTTTCTTTTGTGCTTTATGTTGGTTTTGAAACCTCAAGTTAGCTCAGTCATGGCTTCTCTTCCAAGCCCTGATAACCTTAGTAAGAGCTCTTTCTGGTCAGAATGGTCATTTGGTTTAAAGAACATTTGGCATGAGAATAAAATAATAAAATTTGTGCTGTGTGTGTGTGTGTGTCCACATATCTTCACTTCCAGAAAGAGAAAGCTTTACTCCCATGTACTTGACAACTGATTGAACCCAGCAGAGATCCTATATCCTCTCCTGAATTAATTACTGTAGCTGGGAATATACCATCCATAGATTGGCATAGATCAGGATTATATGATGACTCTTATAATTGTAACCAAAGATCCTGATTTGTTAACAATCAAGGACCATCACTGAAGTCCACGGCTGGGGTCAGCAGGTATGGGGGCTGGGGGAGAGAATGCACATCAATTGCACTCAAATAGCAGGTGTGATAGAATGGTTTCTGGGGAGGCAAAAACGAAGTCCATTACAGCAGGTATGCCATTCAACTGTGTTCATGCATTTGCAGGCTCTTCGCAAGAGAAGATAGCAAGCACATGGTACAGATAGTGGGACTGAAGGAGCTTCAGGTGGATAGTGTGGACCTTCTCTTAGAGGTAACACTTTCTTCTTTGTCACCCCACTACAGTGCCTAAGGACAGCAAAGGAATTCAGTTTGCTGTCCAGCAGTAAAATGGACTCCAATTTAGGCAAAGAGCAGTGACAAGCATGCCACTTCACATTTATAAAATATGAGGCCTCCTCTAAGAAGATAGCTCCTTTCTCTGCAGGGTGGTTATCTCAGTGCCATGACAGAGAGAGTTTTTAGGTGTGTGGGAGAACCTAGTGCATGAGAGGATACTCATGGGCCAGTTTCAGAGGCCACTTACGTATGTTTTTATGCAGTGGGTTCTGGGAAAAGCTGCTAGAGAAAAATACTTTTTATTTTTTTAATTTTTAATAGGCAATACTTCCACATGAGTTCAAAATTCAAAAGATACAATTAATATATCCCTTCCATTCCTTTTTCCTGAAGCAACTAGTTTTAGTAGTTTCTGCTGTGTCCTTACAAAGGTATTTTTAAATCTACTTCTTTTTTTAAAAGTTCTCTCTTTATTATAACAAAAGTAATACTTGCTCATTATTAAATTTAAACATTATTAAACTATATAAGAAGATAGAAAAATAAAGGCCCCCTCTAACTTGCTGTACACAACTCCCCACTCCTACTAATATGTCCATTGTTAACAGTTTATTTAGTTTTTTTCCCTAAAAATGTATTAACTTTTATATAAATAAGTTTCTGGTGAACCTCCCTTTAATGCAGTGGTTCTCCCAGTTTCCTCCAATGGACTTTTTGCTTTGAACAGTCCCCCAGTTCTCTTCCTTTCTTCAATAAAAGAGCACTCCTTTCCTTTGTTCTCTGGACTTGCTTGCAGTTTGCTTGTCCTGATCTACAGTTCTCTGCTGTCCCCAAATAAACCCATTTTGCTAGTAAAATCACTGACATTTTAAAGGTTAACACTGTGTGCTGAAATACATGCATAAGGACATTCACTGCTGCATTGTTAAAAATAGCTCCAAAATAGAAACAACCCCAATTGTCTATTAACCTTAGAATGGTTAAATAAACTGTGGCATATTAAATTAGATCATTAGAGGGCTTTTTTTCTAACTTAAAAAATTATTTAACCATTTTTATTGTGAAAAATGGCACTATCCAGAAAACTATATAAAAGCTAAATGTGTATAGTATAAACAAACACATAATCAATTACACATAAGAAATAAAACACTGCAGCAACCTACAAGCTCCCTAAACAATTTCCCAGTCACACCCCTCTATAATCCTAACTTTTATACTTATCACCTTGTTCTTTGTAGTTTTACCACTTATGTACTCAACCATAGACTATATAACTTAGTTTTTGCCTGTTTGACTTTGTATGAATAGAATCACACTGTGTATTCTTTTGTCTTGCTTCTTTTGTTCAACATTATGCTTTTGAATTCCATCTATGTTTTTGCATATTGCTATAATTTTGCTTGTTTTTATTTGTTTTATAGTTTTCAATCATATGATTATGCCACAGTTTATTTAACCATTCTAAGGTTAATAGACAGTTGGGGTTGTTTCTATTTTGGAGCTATTTTTAACAATGCAGCAGTGAATGTCCTTATGCATGTATTTCAGCACACAGTGTTAACCTTTAAAATGTCAGTGATTTTATTAGCAAAATGGGTTTATTTGGGGACAGCAGAGAACTGCAGATCAGGACAAGCAAACTGCAAGCAAGTCCAGAGAACAAAGGAAAGGAGTGCTCTTTTATTGAAGAAAGGAAGAGAACTGGGGAAGTGTTCAAAGAAAAAATCCATTGGACGAAACTGGGAGTCCCACCTGTCGTGGCTTCTTATTGGTTGAGTTGTGACAGTCTCTGATGGGGCTGTTGCTGGGGGAGGCAGAAACTCTTCCCTCCTCTACTGTGTAGTAAAGTAGCCAAAACAGTATGCGTTATAAGGTTTCCATCTCTTTTTCCCGTGGGCTCTGTAATTGACATGACCTGGTGGGCATGAGAGCCCCCTTGCAGGCCTCCAGATGCCATGTCAGTGAGGTTATTACTTTTCACAACAGAATGTAAATTTTCTAGGATATATATCTAGTTGTGAAAGGATGTAGACATAGTTGTCGGAGGACATGCGTGTCTTTCACTTCGCTAGATGATGCCAACTGTTTTCCCATGCAGTATAGACTCACAAGCATTATATGAACAGGCCTACTGCTCTTCATTTTTCTATAATCTACTCCGTATCTAGTTTATAATCAATACTGTTTATTGATTAAAAAAAAGTTTTTGCCAATCCGGAGTTGTTTAGTTATATTTCACTGTGGTTTTAATTTGTAATTTAATTTTCATTTTGCTGATTGAGAATTAAATTGAATAGCTCTTCATATTTTTAATTTACCTTATGGATATCCTCTTTAAGGAATGCCAGTTTGGATCTTTTCCTCATTTCTGGGTTGTATGTCTTTTTCTTACTGATTTGTATATTCTGGATATGAGACATTTGTCAGGTATTTGTGTCATATGCATATTGTTTCATTCTGTAGCTTGTCTTTCTAGTTTCATCATGTTTTTAATGCTTGCTTGAGTCCCCCTGAGGCCAATTAAATCAGAATCTCTCAAAGTGAAGCCCAGATGTGGGTATTATTATTTTAAATTGAAATATAGATTCACATACCACAAAAATCACCTTTTTAAAATGTACACTTCAGTGGCTTTTTTAGTTTCCTCATTAAGATATAATCCACAGACCATAATATTCACCTGTTAAAATATACTTATATAAAATTAAGTGATTTTCTTTTTTTGTACATTCAGAAAGTTGTGCATCATCACCACTATTTAATTCCAGAATATTTTCATCACCCCAGATTGAAAAACCTACAGTATTACCAGTTGCTCCCTATTTCCCATGACCCCAGTACCTGGGAGCCACTAATGTCTATCTCTCTGGATTTTCCTTTTCTGGCCATACCATATAAATGGAATCATACAATATACAACCCTTTTGTGTCTACCTTCTTTCACTTAGTATAATATTTTCAAGGCTCATCCATATTGTAACATGTATCAATACTTCATTCCTTCTATCATTATAGCTTAATGATATTCCATTATGAGGCTATATCATATTTTACTTCTCCATCAGTTGATGGACATGTAGGTTGTTTCCACTTTTATGGAAACATTGTTATAAATAATGCTGCTATAAACATTCATGAACAAGTTTTTCTGTAGACATATGTCTTCAGTTTTCTTGAGTCTTGCTTAGTAGTGGAATTCCTGGGTCATATTTCTTGAAGAACCCCTGTTTTCCAAAGTGGCTGTGACATTTTACATTCCTACCAGCAATGTGCGAAGGTATAGGTATTATATTTAAATCTCGCACATTCAGATACAATAGTCATTCTTATGTATATCCAGCAAGACTCGCTGGAGTCAAAGGGAGAAGGCTAGAAGGACAGGCTGGGTACTTGACAAGTCCCATCTTTAGAACAGCTCACACCCCTATTCCCTATGGCACTCTTGACTCCTCCTCTCCCAGCCATTTCTTCCTTTGGCTGGGAGTTGCAGGAGAGTTGGTCCTCATGAAGCCTTTCTCCCTGGTACTTAGGCCAACTGAGTGCGGAAGGAGCAAACACAAGCAGGAAGTCCCTTTTCGGTAGCTATGGGCCATAATTGTGTTAACAGACAATGTGGTGTCAAGTTAGCCCCTCTGCCCTAGAAAAGTTTAGGGCACTGGTCTATATTAAGCTATGTTTCCTGGAAACAGAAAGAAGTTTCTTGTTCGTCAATGTATTAGCGCATCATTGCCATGATACCCTCAGTCTGTAATACATATGTTGTACAAGAAAGCTAGCTGAGATCAAGGTGGAAAGTGATATAAATTATGGATATCTGGCACAGTTATCCTTATAAACATTTATTGATTCAAAACAATGCACTTGCTAACTCAGGTGTCACACTTTCATTTTCTTGGGTGTCGCGGTTCATGCTCGCTCAGGTATCGCCCATGTGTTTGCTCAGGTGTCATCTTCTAGTATTACTCAGACTCACAGAAGCATGGCCACTTGTCTACCTGCACAGCTGGCAGCTTTGTTTTTCACAAACTTCCTTCAGGAAGTTTTCCCTTCTAGGTATATCTTATTACCTGGTCTTACTAATGCAAGTCGTCTCTGCCTTTACAGAGAACTCACTGACTCATTGTATTTCCTGGATTTAGAATCAAGATTTTGTCTATCAGGCAATTGATGGGCATTTTATCAGTTGTAGAAATTTGCAGGTTTTAAAATCATTCCCAGAGCCATTTCTTGTACTTAGAGGTACCCATTCTCAAACTGCTAATAAATCTGTTTCATGGTTTCTCATTGCCTTGACTGTAATTGGTAGCAGAGGCCCACATAACAAGAGCTTCCCTAAAGGGGCCTCAGTTGTATGCCAGTATCAGAGACTTAATCTATACACAGTGCCTATACTACTGAAGTGCTCATAACCCTTCTTTGGATTTGTGCAGGAAACTTAGTAATTAAAGTCTTATAACCAGACAGATCTGGGTTCCAGTGCCATGTATCCTTGAGCATGTCCTTATCTTTCTGATTCTGAAACATGGATAAAGTAGATGATTAGGTTGGGTAATAAAGAAGGAAATGAGATAATATACAGGAAATGCTTAGTGTGATGCTAGCTCAATTTGTCACATCTATTGTTCTTACTAACAAGTCACTGAACATTTCCTAGTGCCACAGAATTTTTCAGTTGGCTCTATATTGTAGCTGGTCCCCATTTCACTACTCACCTAACATGTTTGATCTAAAGGACCAAGATTTAGAAACTTTCCTGATAGACTTTAGTTTATGGAAGAAGGAATTTGAGGAGGAGGTAGTGAGAGGAAAAAGGGGGCTAGTGATTTTCAGGTGATTGCATTAATTTTGCTAAGCTCCTATACTTGCATTTTCTCCAAATACATTGTCTTTTTTCCTCTTTATTCTCTTTCTCCCTTCCTTCTGTCCTTTTGTTCTTCTTCCTTTTTTATTTTCACTTGTAATAGGATGCCC